GGTTAGAAATCATCACTTATGTGGGTTCTCCTGGTTAATTAACACAGAAGACTTTTCATTGTTCCATGTTGTCATCCCCACTCTCTATTCCATCTTGTCTTCCATGTTGGTCCAAGGATCTTCTCTCTACCTCCTTTCCTGCCCCCACAGAGACACATGTGCACATACTGTGAATTCTTCTTTTGCGGCTGCACCCTTGTACTTGCCCTTCACACCTTACCCCTTCAGTGACCTTCAGATACATTTAACCCTCTAACCCCCCATATTCTCCTTGGAATCCTGGCCAGCTGTCTGCCAAATAAATACCCTAGGGTGGCTACCATTGAAAGCATGAAGCTGGATATATTTATAGAATATAGTGAGGCTTAGTTCAGTTGAGCAGCCTGAAACTGGTGAGATCATTCCTTGTCCTGGGTTGGCTTTAGGTAGGTCAGATGATTTCTTAGCAGGTGGTCTGAGTGAGATGCTTCAAAGTAGAAGTGAAGATATAAAATGGAAGGGGAGTAAGAGGAAACCAGGCTGAGCCCTGCAGGGATAACAAAGACATTATTTTAGAGTTGAATCATTCTTGTCTCCCTCCATAATAGTCAGCTGTATTGACAGTATGGCCACTATGGCCATGATCATTTGCTGAGTTCATGAAGATGGGGAATAGTCCTAAAACTGGAAATTTAAAGATAAGTACATTAACTTAGTCTGAAACCTGTTTTTCAATTAATGGACTAACGTGCCAAGAATGGGAACTAACTGTTAAGAGGCATACCAAGAATGCAGTCTTACCACATGCTCAAGAATACTTGGGCCAGGCCCAGCCAGGAAGTTTCTCTAGTCTTTAACCTCAGTGTACAGGGCCATGACTTAGCCATCAAATTTCAAGTGAGTTTTTATTCCATACTGTTCTCTGGCCTTCCAAGTAGTTGGGTTGGGCTGGAAGGAACAGTTTGGGTGTCCAGAAGGTAAACTGACAAACTCAACCTGCTCCCACAACCTTCCCTTACATCACTGAGAGAAATTTTCATAAACCCATTTTACAGAGGCTTTGAGTTGCCCAATTCTCTGAGATATAAATAATCTTTTATCATAGTTATATGCCTAACCAAGTTATATGGCATTCTGGCTCCCCAATGAGTGCCCTTGTGGCTAGCCTCTTTCCAAGTAAATGGATCCATGAAAAGCAGTAAGTAGACATCTTTTCTTGGGGAAGGGGATCCACCTAGCAGGACCCTGACCAGGGAAAGTAGAACAGGACATGAAACATTAAGAAAGATCATGAAGATTTCAACAGCTGTGGAACCATCATAATCTTTTGAGGTACCTCCCTTGCCAGATATTTATAGGGGTGCCCAGGAGCAGAGAAATAATTACAACTCAGTTCCTACCTCCCTAACAAGTCCCCTCTCAGATTCAGAGTGAATGGGATATTTTTTCCTTAGCTTTTTTTTTTGAAGTAGCAAATATTAATACCAGATTGACAGCTTTTACCAACTAACAGCTTCTCTTCTCCCCAGTAGCAGATACCAGAAATATTGATTTCTCCCACTCATGACTCCAGTGCCACCCACTCTGGCTCATGAAGGCACCCTCTGGGGAGGAAAGAAGTTGCTCAACCTCTTTGGAGGCACCAATAAAAACTTATTAAGGATTCCCAAGAGTATTTCCAGAGTGGGATTTGGAGAACCTTATGCCACTATTGCATTTGCCTCCTGGGACCACTCTTCAATCTCCCCTACTCCCACCACCAGCTGTTGGAAGAGAAGGATAATCCTTTTGCCTTCAATGTTTGGTTTTTTGTTTTTTGTTTTTTGTTTTTTTTTTTTGGTGGGAACAACAATAGCATCCTGATTTAAATTTCTGTGTCAGAATGAAGTATCTTGGAGTCTTTTCCAGGAATCACTTTCCCATTCCCAATCCCACCTCTACTTCCAATAGAATGTTAAGATCCTAGAGAACTGACTATTCTGTCATATCTAGATTTTTATCTCCAGATCATGTAGCAAGAAGAATATTGGATTTGGAGTCTGAAGACCTTCCAACCTTGGATATGGAACCTTGATCAAGTTGCTTTTCTCTGTACCTCAGTGTTCTCTGCTGTAAAATCAAGGGGTTGGATGAGATGATCTCCGGTCCCTTTCAGCTCTAAATTTTATAATTATGACATTAACTCAATGCTTTTGCTCATACTAAGGGTTTAGTAAATGTAAATGGAATTGAATTGGTAGAGTTAGAAACAGCCACGGCTTATAGCACCCTGCACCTTAAAGCCTGTTGCCTGTTCTTACCTATCTGATGTTGCCTTTCCTTCAGAGAACAATATGAGCAGAGGTCTGTGCTACTTAGCATCCTGGTAATTTCCCTAGGCTTCATTTGTTTTGAGTAATTTATGGAACCCAGAGGGGACACAGCCTCTATCTGCAGAAACTCTAACAACAGATGCTCTACTTAACTTTTCTTGAATGTTATTTTATGCTTTTGCTACTTTCTCTATAAAGCCTTCCCCAGTTATCTTGATTGAAAGTATTCTTTTCTTCCTCAAACTTTCCTAGAGCATTCTATATAGATCTCTCCTTTGCCTCCATCAAAGTCTACCTCACATTATATTTATCTGTGCACATACATATTGTATCCCAAGTCACTCTCAAACCCAGATGACTTGTCCGAGGTCATACAACTACCATGTTTCAGAGGCTGGACTTGAATGAAGGTCCTCCTGGCTTTGAGGCTACTACAGATTGCTTTTATTAATTGAATTGATATCTGTGAGCTGTTTCAATAAGGTAGCTGTTTATACAATATTCCATGATTGTTACAAAAGTCTTCTTGATAGACAGGGGATTTAAAGAATAAGAGTATTAGATTTTCTCTAAAGTCTTTTCCAGTTATAAGATTTTATTGATTTCTTTGAAGCAGAAGAGGGAGACCACTTGGCCACTGTAGGGCAAGAACAAAAACCATGAGGGCAATAACACAGCTGTGGGTAGGCAATATGGAATTCAGAAAAGCCTTCTGGTGCCACAGGCCAGAAAATACAACAAGAGGCATATATGAGATATCTTCCAACTCATAACTGTACTATCACCCAAGCAGTCCGTTCAGTGTTTGGGGGAAGGGTGTTTCTGGAAACAATGAGCTAGATGAGAGCCCTTTTGTAAGGTCAAGCTTTGTAAAACTTTATACGAATTATGTATGCCCCTGGTCCTAATAAAATAAAAGTAATCATTAGGAAAAAAAAAAACACTGTACCAAGAGATGGAAGAGCCAGATTTTAGTCTCCATTCTACCATTTACTGCCTACATAAGTTCAAAAGATCATCTAGTTCCACTCTCTGATTTTACAGTAAACTGAGACCCAAAAACATTACTTCTGAGCTTGGTTTTTGTTTTGTTTTTTGGATGGGAGGGGTCAGAAGAAGCACTTAGATTACCAGCTAAATGAGGATTAAGCTACACTGCTCTACAGAAGGGGACCATCAAAAACTGGTATCTGAATTGCTTAGACCCTGACTTGCTCAATATAGGCATGAATTTACACTTGGTTTTAGAAAGTCACCCTCTCTAGTCATAGTTTGTCTGCCTTCCAGCATGGGGTTAAAAGGATAGTCACCTTAAGCTGCCAAGTTCAAGGAAGGTCAACTGTTCTCCCTTTGTGTTGTTATAAGTCTGTGTCTATGTGTGGGCAGGTGGGAATGGAGAAACGGGTACCCAGCTGGTGTGGCATGTACCTGGTTTTGTGCTTTGCTGCTTGATATGAAACTGCACAGATAAATATCCGTTGCTTTACATATGTTGTTATGAGGAAAGAAGTGCAGGTGTAGATGGTATGGCCTACCTATTCTGTTCCTGTGTGTGCCAGGTGCTACTCCACATGATGTTGTGTGTACCAGAGTGGCTGTTTGTGTGCACACCTTTCTGAGTGTTCAGGTGAAGATGAACTGGAATGTTGCCAAATTTACACGCTCATCCAGACTGAGTGCATCTGAGGAGTTGAGGCAAGGTGGTTATTAGGTGGTATGCTCACACCTATGTATGGCCTACCCTATGCTCTCCCAAAGATTAGAACTCAAGATAAAGGGAGGCCAGGGAAGCACAGCCAGAAGGTTTGGTTGGATTTCCAAGCCCTGAATAGCCTGGAGAAAGCTCTTTACTGTGAGGAAGCCTTTGCGTAGGTGCCCTCATTACATCACTGAAACTCCCTGTCACTGAGCTGGTTTCCCTTAAGATAGTTGCTATCTGAGCACCCAGGGAGAATCGCCTTCCTACCCGCAAAGCCTTCCCATGATGTGAATGCTCTCCCCCAGCGCCAGAAACCAAGAGAAATTTTTAAATATCAGAATTTTTAAAATCCAGAAGCAGCTGGGGTTCCTCTGGGAAAAACAGAGGGAGAACAGGGAGGAGACTGGGAAGGGAGGGTGTGAGAACTGGCTGCAAAAGAACTCCGGCAGGCAAAGGGTTAAGTGTGGGATCAGCTGTTGTGCTGTCATTCTGGATTCTCTTCCTTTTATACGGGGCTCTGTTTGATGTTGGAGTACGCCAGGGACTCCCCCTCCCACCGCTTGCCTTACACAGACACGCGCGCCGCGCACACACTCTCGCACTCTTTGCCTACCGGCCTCTGATGGCTCCAAAGTGATATTCATTTTCTCTTTCGCTCTCTCCGTGTGTGTCTCTCCGTGTGTGTCTCTCCGTGTGTGTCTGTCTCTCCCCGTCTGTGTCTCTCCTTGTCTGTGTCTATATCTCTCCTCCTTCTCCCTCTCCCTCTCGTCTTTCCTCTCCATCTCCCTCTCTCTCTCCATCATTCCCCGCCCTGGCTGGGGGAGAACCGGGCAGAGGAGCGCTGCTTTGATGCCTCCCCCTTAAACAGCGCCACGAGGGGGAGGGGAGGGCCCGAAGAGGAGGAAGAGGAGGAGGAGAGAGAAAGGGAGGGAGCCAGGGAAACACTCTAGCTCGCTCGCACACCCAGAGGAACAGAGCAGAGGGTGCGAGAGGAGCCCCGAACTGCCTCCTCGGAGCCGGGCGCCCATCTGCTGCCCCATGCTGTGCTCCATGGCGAACTCGGGCTGCCTCCTGCTGTCCAACTCCGGCAGCATGCTCCCGCATTCAGTGCCCTGCCCGCCTGCCTTCCTCTACCTCCAACAGGTAAGCTAGCCGGCCCCGCTCCTGGCCCCCGGACTTGCACGTGCTTTGGGGGGTGGGGGTAACCGAGATACGAGTAGCCTGCCCAGACCGCTGGACTTAACCTTTTCTTCGCCGGCAGCTTGGTTCCTTCTTCCCCTTTCCTTGGTGCGGGTTGAGGATGGTGTCCCCCCCAGTCCCCCCCCCCCCCCCCACTCCTTCCCAGCTCCACTCAGCTGTCTCTCCTCCGCACCTGGAGAACCGAGAGCCGGGCCGGGTCGGGCCAGGCCGAGCCGGGCCGGAGTGGGCACTGCGGCGACGTCCTGGTTTGCCGAACCCCTTCCTCGCCTTCCCGTCGGGTCGAGGTCATCTCTTGGGCACAGTGGCTGAAGAGGAGGAGGGTCGGGTTGGGGGAGGGGACTGAGTTTGGCGTGTTACTTCATTGTAACTTTTAAGACTATGCTGGATCCGGGCCGCAGAAGGGGGGGGGGGGGGGGGGAAGGGGGGGAGGGGAAGGGGGGGGGGGGAGGGGACAGTGTTGGGAACTTCTTTTTGAGCTGCCAAGAGACTGGGGTCCGACCCTCCCTGGGCACCTCTGCCTGCTTGTCTACGAGTCCTGGGGAGTGCGGGGGTGGAGAGGAGGGAAAGAGAGGCGTGTGTGGGGGAGCCCCAAGCTTTGCTGCAGCGGAGATCGCGGCGCCGGCGGCGGCTTGGAGGGGGCGGATCTCGGAGAGCAGATCGCAGAAAGCACCGCGCTGGCGCTGGCTCTGTAACCCGGGTAGTAGGGGTGTGGGAGAAGACCCCGCAGGGATCAGGAGCCCAGCCCCGGGTGTGAGTTGAGGGGCAGGGAATGGCGCGGGGGCGAGAGTCTTTGCAAACTGCGGCGTCTGGAGGGAGCTCAGGCTAGGGAGATGCGGATCTGTCCTCTAAAATTATTTGGGAACTTGGGGAGGAGGGAAGGAGTCTCCCCGAAGACCAGGAGTGGTTCGGAAGGTTTCTGGAACCCCCAATACCTCCCACCCCGTTCCTGCCAGCTCTGGGCCGCTCCGCGAGGCAGTTCAAGCTGTTCCCTCCCTTCTTCCAGCATAGAGGCAGGAGTGTGGCCCTTGGATCCAATTTGGGACCCGACTCCGGCAGTGGGTATCGGGGGTATGTGTAAGTTATCTCTCCTTGAGTGGCTTTCCCCACACCCCCAGCACAGAGTTGCTGCGGATATTCCAGCCGTACAAAGGCCGCTCCCTTTCCCTACCTATCCCGCCACCGTAGCCCTGAAGGTTTCCACTACCCCAACCCTGTCCTCCTTTGGCCTTTTACTTGTCATCCCTGTCCACCAGAATGGAGAGTTGCTAGATGGGCCTGCAGAGGGGCTTTGGAGGAAACCCTAAGTAGGGAATCTAGCTAAGGCCAGTGATTTAAAAGGTTTAGAGGGAGAAAGAAGGGTCCAGGCCACCATACCTTCCTGTCAACCCAGATTGCTACCCCTGCGCATTCACCTTCCCACAGACAAGAACATCCTGTAGCTGGATCTGGGACCCCAGTTAACTACTGAGACAAAAGGGGTAAAAAGTACATCCTAGATTGGAACTGAAGGCTTGGCACTGGCCTTCTGATGGTCTGGATTGAAAATCCTATTTCAGGCCCTCTTGGGTCTGTTGATTATGTCTTCCTCCGAGATGTAATGGGAAAAAGCAAAGAAAAACATGTGTGTCATTTCTCTTTCTTGAAGTGAAGTGGTTGATACTTGCTATTCTCTTCCTCTTGCTTGCATGTGCCTCTTCTTTACCAATACAACTGTAGAAGAGGAAACCACAGTTAAGTCATACACAGAGGGGCAGTGGGGCAAGGTAAACACAGAGCTCGTCCTTGTTGTGGTCAGAGGATGACGGTGCCCCTAGACTATCTCCAAACACACACACACACACACACACACACACACACACACACACACATTCAGGTGCGATATAGATTTGAATTTAACAAATGATATGCACCAAGAGAAATTAATGAGAGACCAGCTATGGGGACCTTCTTTTCAGTGGAAATGAGATGATAGAGAAGGTACATGAGCCAGTCTCTATTTAAATCCACTATTCCTGACTCTGGCAGTGGGGAATCAGGGTATGTGTAAGTTATCTTTCCTTGAGTGGCTTTCCCCACATGCCTACCACAGAGTTGCTGTGGATAGATCAGAAAGATAAACATCACCTGTTACTTCTAACACTAGGCATCTCACTGTGTATGGTGAAGGTGCCTACCTAGTTTCACCGCAGCTGCTGAGATCGTTACAAGAAATCTCCCCCATCCCCCCTTCCTGCAGTGAACAAAAGTGAGAAGACTTCTAGGACAAGTTTTTCTGTAGCCCTTAGAACATAAATGAAGATATTCTGTGGACTCATAATTTCCCATAGTGGGTCCTACAATGATAAGGAAGCCAACCTTTCCAGTTCCTGATTTCTGTTTCAAACCCTGGACATGATGTCTGGTTCACTTTTTTCTGAAGGGTCATGAGGAATGGGGAAAAGCACACTGATCTACTGATTCACCATCCAGATCAATGAGTGCAAATCAGAACAGAAGTTCAGCTCCATCCGTGCTTTCTTTTTCCTTCTGCAGGTAGCTGCACTCCATGCCATGGGTCAAGGGGTCAAAAGTGACCCCTTTATGCTACTGAAGCACACATGTATTTATGAGGAAAATGCTTTCTTCAGTATTCGGGGTTTTTTTTTCAAGTTGTTCCCCATTTTCATTAATTGGTACAGAGAGGCATTGTGATGCAGTGGATAGAAAGTTGTCTTCAAATTGGCTGTGTGACCCTCGTTAAATCACTCTCAGTGCTGTACACAACTCTCTAAGACTTTTAAATTGTGAAGAAGGCACCAATTCAACACTGGTAGAAGGAGTACCCTCAATTAATGGAGCCACAGGTCCATTCCCTATTCTATTAATCAGTACAATCTAAGTATTACTTTTTTGTTGTTGCTGTTTGTTTTTACAATGCCTTTTATTTTTACAGTCATTTTCTGTATGTCCTTTCCACAAACTCCCTACCGTGAGCTTTCCTTTGAAACAAAGAAAAACAGTTAAACAAAACCAGCTGATATAGAAAGGCACCATGGTGCAATGGAAAAATTGCTGAATTTGGAACCAGCAATCCCACCTTTAATACTACCAAGTCATTTTACCTTTGTGAGTCTCGATTTTCTTATTTATAAAATGGGAAGATTGAACTTCCAAGCTCCAAATCCCTGATCTATGACACAACCATGTTTGATAGCATAAATAACATTCCATGCCATAGTTCCCATCTTTGAATAGATGGAGGAGGGAGGTGCAATTCTTAACCTCTTTTTTGAATCCTAGTGTATTTGCAAACCCCACAACTGTTCTTCCCAAAACACAATCTCCTTCTGCCTATCTTTAGGCTGTATCAAAGTACTAAGCTTGTAGTCATTCTTTGTAGAAAGCACCTAAACATTAAGAGGAGGCAATCATTTCTCACCTAGCCATTCTTCCTTAAAATGAGACCTTTCTTTACTGTAAGATCTATGGTGTAGGTGGTTGGATGGAGGCTCTTTACATAAACTTGTGCATGAGTGAGAATGTTTGTTTCTTATGTAGGCTGTATATTAAATCTAAACAGCACAATTGAGCAGAGTGAAAGATGTGAATTCAAGCAAGACAGAAACATAGTTTGTGGTGCATTAAAATGCAGCAGTGGAATAGGCAAAGGTTTTTATACTAGGTATTTTTTTCAACTTGGGGGTGAAAAGCCTCAAAGAACAGGACTCTGTTTTATCCATTACATGAAAAACTCATTAACCTTTTCCTGCTTTGAGAAGGAGCATATGCTGCTCTTCTCTGGATCCCAAACCTGCTGGGAACTGGACTAGGTCCTCTCAGATAGAAAACTGTTCCATAATTAATTGGACATCTTTTTTGTGACTGTCCACCCCTTCCCTGCCCCTCTCCTGATGGTGGTGCTGATATTTTTCATCATGCTAACACTGCATGGGACAGCCACAAATGAAGCTGTCTGCAAAACTTTGATTAACCAAATGCCAGGGAAAATACAGCTGCAGTGTGGGCTCTGTCATTTGTGAATAGCTCATCAAAGACAGCTGCGTGTATCTTGTGCCTCACTCACATCAGTTCCCTGACAGTATCTGTCTTTGCTCTACCATGGCCCAACTACCAGAATCTCCCATTTCAGGACAGTTTTTGCTCTCTGCAAACCGATCAGATACATAGGGCAACCACCATGCTTAGCCCAAGACCATTATTCTCCTATATGAAGCTGCCTACCCCCTTCTGAAGTTCTTCAGTGGGAAATGTAGGAGACTTAGAATATGGGCCCTAAAGGTTCTACACCCTTCTTTCATCACAATGCACCATAAAAGAATAGGCTTTTCTACCTGAAAACTACCAACATTTGCAAAGAGTTATTTTATGTGATTCAGAGTACAGGCTGCCTTTGAAGGCAAATTATAGAGAATTGCAGGAAATCCAATGAAAAGGAATTTTTGTCACTGTAATTAATTTATTAAGCCATAACATCATATCAAGAGAGTCTTATAGCCACATCACTTACATAGGAAGGGGAATCTTTAAAGGGGAAAATGAAGTATTTTAAGTATTGTGCGTGTGCATACATACAAAAATTAGTAATTGGGTGGGAAAATAATAGATTTGTAGAATAATTCAGAACTGAAAGACACAGTTACATTGTTGGAAATTTGAGCAAGTTGGACCTTCCTGAGAAGGCCTTTTCCCTTCCCTCTCTGAGACTCACTGGAGCCAGACTGTCCTTGGGCATCAGAGCTATAACTAAACATTTTTGTGCCAGGGCAAGCAGTATAAATTGTGTTCTCAGTTGATTAGGGTGGGGGAGGTTGTCATCATGGCAGATGGGAAGACCCCCAGGTATAAGTTTTGGTAGAGTGAGAAGGAGCTTAGCCCACCATCTAATAGCTCACTATTTTAACTCTCCTTGATAGCCATGTACTTAACTATGTCATTTCTATTTA